CACCCCTGGGGGTGGCCCCCGCGCCTCGCTCGGCCAGTGAGCGGGAACCGGTCTGTATGTGGGATCCGAACCCTCGGCGGGAGCGCTGCCGCGCTTCCCAAGCGGCGCACTAGCGCAGTGCGCCACCGGGCCGGCCCGTGCATCTCTTTTTAATTTCACTGTTTTCTGTTCTTATCTTTATTATTTTCATTCTTCTGCTTGCTTTGAATTTAGTTTGTTCTTCCAGTCTCTCCAGATGAAAATTAGACCTTTCTTCTTTTCCAAGATAGGCACTTAATGCTGTAAGTTTTTCTGTAAGTACTGCTTTGGCTGAATCTCACAAATTTTGATGTGTTTTTTTTTCATTTTAATTTGATTCAAAATATTTTCTAATTTAACCTCCTTTTGCAGCCTCATATTCTAAGACTTTCCTCATGTACCTTGTATTCTAGCCAAACTTGTGTGATTTCCTGCTTTTGCTGTTTTCTTTACTTGGAATGCCTTTTTTCCTTGTTCAACTCTGTCATTCCCACCCTCTTCAAATGACATATTTTTTTTTTTTTTAATTTTCATTTTTTCATTTTTTTTTATTTTGTCAATATACAATGTGGTTGATTATTATGGCCCATCACCGAAACCTCCCTCCCTCTTCCCTCTCCCCCCTCCCACCCAAGAATGTCCTTTCCGTTTGCTTGTTGTAACACCTTCAAAAAAATTGTAGTTGTTATATCTTCTTCCCCCCACCCCCGGATTTTTGTGTGTGTGTGTGTGTGTGTGTGTGTGTGTGTGTGAGTGAATTTATTTATTTATTTTTAGCTCCCACCAATAAGTGAGAACATGTGGTATTTCTTTTTCTCTGCCTGACTCGTTTCACTTAATATTATTCTCTCAAGGTCCATTCATGTTGTTGCAAATGGCAGTATTTCATTCGTTTTCATATATTATTTTTTGACAGTTTTTTTATTGAAAGATAATTTTTTATATATATTTGTGGGGTACAGAATTTAATATCAATACATGTGTACAATATGTGGTGATTAAATCAGGATAATTAGTAAACTCATGTTAACAAAATGTCATCAATCTTTGTAACCCTTAACTAATTTCTCACTAACCCTCTTCCCCTCTCCCTTTCCCACCTCTAATAACCACAGTTCTGTTCTCTCTCTCTCTTTTTTAAAAAAATTTCAATGCATTATTGTGGGGTTTTTTTTCTCTCTTTCCTTCTTTCTTTCTTTTAGCTCCCACTTATGAGTGAGGACATGTGTATTTCTCTTTTTGTGCCTGGCTTATTTCGCTTAACATAACTTTCTCTAAGTTCTTCCATGTTGCTGTGAATGGCAGAATTTCTTTTCTTTTTTTTTTTTTTTTGAGACCGGCCGCACCACGCTTAGCCAGTGAGTGCTGTGAGCGCACCAGTCATCCCCATATAGGATCCAAACCCGCGGCAGGAGCGCTGCTGTGCTCCCAGCGCCACACTCTCCCGAGTGCGCCACGGGCTCGGCCCAGAATTTCATTTTTTTTATGGCAGAGCAATATCCCATTGAGTAAATATACCACATTTTCCTTATCCAGTTGTCTGTTGATGGACATCAAATGACATATTCTCTGTGACACTTTACCAGATCACCATAACAGGAAGTGATGTATTCTTCTTTGAGCCCCCAAAGTATGGTACACTTCTCTCATGTCACTTAATAACTATTGTCTTATATTTATTTCCAAGCACCAGGCTCTTTTTATTTGCCCCAAAGGAGCATTGGTAGCTTTACTTTGGGGAAGGGAAAAATGGTCAGAGAAAAGTTTTGCAGATTCCCTCCTTGCAGTATTTCCCAGAGGGGTATCTACTGACTCTTCTTTGCCAGGAAAATAAATACAGAGAATTTGAGAATGTTCTAACAGCTCTTTATTCAATGCTTCTAGTGATAAAAATTTAGAGTGTACACATTGAACAGGTTTGTGAAAAGTTAGGTGTTGCATAACTTACACCATGTACCAAATAAGAATCCATCTTCTTTCCTCAATTCTCCTTCCCTTTCTTGCTCTGCCATTGCCCTTCCCTCCAAAACACCACAGCTTTTGTCCCCTTTCATCCTTCTCTTGTTCCAGCTCCAACTAGTCCCTTTCCTTATCTTATATTTTGTAGATCATATGGATGAAGTTTGGTAATGTGAGTTGTTGGTCTTTTCATAGGCTGGCTCTGGACAGATGAGTGCGGTAGCTCCTGCAGGTCAGGAGGGGAGGGGAGAAAGACATTTGACTTGCCTCCTACATTGGCCTACTTTCCTTTTCCTATCTTATTTTTTTCTACCTTCCCTCAGTATTTTAAAAAGTCAGTCATCCAGCACTGTTCAGGTTAAGCTCTTATCAATATCTATCTTATATAAGATTATATGTTCTCTTTTTATGTATCTCCCAACTCTATTAGCTTAATCTTGGAAGATTCATATCTAACATGAATATGAATATAATTATATTAATATAATTAGTAAAGTATATAAAATATAATATAATATAATCAACATATAATATAATTATATTAATATTAATATTCTTTGAAGGTGTGGGCCAATTAATCTTTTTTATCCATGTGTTGCTCACTTACCATTACTTACCAAAGTGTTGGGCATTTAGTTTATCTTCAATAAATGCCAAGAATGAATAAAATTAAGACATGGTTAAAAAAAAAAGGCAAGTGGAACACCTGGAAAAGTTTTCAAAATGAAGGCAATTTAATCAATATTTGCCAATCTGTTGAGGCAAAGAATGCAGAAAGATGTCTTCTTAAAAGCACAAATTTAGCTGCAAAAGAATAGAATTCATGAAAGAACAACAGTACAGTTTTCGCAAAGTTTGTAAGTCTATTTTCTATTCTCTAAATACATTCTCAATGGGAATAAAAACAAGGAAGTATCTTAATCACTTGTGTATAATTAAGTGGTGTAGTGCTTAATTTAACATCTACTTATGAAAATTAAGGGCTTTAAAAGATGCCTGTTATCAAAGTGTTAGATAAAATTTCTCATCCTTAGGTGTGAAACTCTCTGATGAATACATGTTGAAAATTGTATTTGCATATTAAATGATTCAGAAAAGTATGCTATATAAAACAAAATCTTCTTTTTCAGAAAATGTGCTGAAATCTGTTTCTAAGGGTGAATCAATGTTGGTGCAAGAGGACTTACTGAAATCACAACAGCATTGCCTTTTTCTATGAGAAGTCTTTCAGATTAAGACTCTTGAGAGATTACAGAGCAAAAAGGAAGAAGCATGTCACATTTTTATGCAGGGGAACTTGTGTTTCTTCATCTAGGAAAGGAAATTCTTCTTTTCATGTATCCTCTGGTTCTATCTCTAAGCTTTTCCTACATTAATCTCTTGTTTTGCAACCTGTGTCAGATTGGGTAGTGTGACAACTCCACTTCAGGTGTGGTTCTTGTCTGGGGGCTAGCGATGGAACCAGTATCAGGATGACTGGCATCCTGCCCGGTTCAAACAGGAATAGCCCTTGTCTACACCAAGATGAAGATCGAAGTTCCAATGTCACTACTCAGATTTACATATGTATTTTTACAATGGCTGAATGGAGTACTTTAGAATGAGAAGAATTGAAGTTGATTTAAAGACATAAAACAAAGCTATCAATAATTTAAAGATAGGTTTTAAAACAGTAAATGCAAGCTTCTAAGTGGTTAATTATATCTACAGTCACTAACCACTCTTCTTGGAGGAGATAAAAACGTTTTAGCTATGGATGGCTAGATAAAAAGCAGCAATCTCTGTTTTCTACTCTGCTATAACTTTTGCCCAAAGTTGAACATCTTCTAATAGGAATAATCACAGAGTTCTAGTTGCAGAAGTTTTTAGACTTTACTGCATTTGCTGAAGCCCAATTTCACATATACAATACCTTCTGTCAAACTCTGGTATTTTTTTATGAAACAGTTTTATTGACATATTTTAGACTGCATATATTTAAAATGTACAATTTGATATATTTTAACAGATGTGCAAACCTGTCAATCCATCACCACAAACAAAATACAATAATAAACATTTCCATTATCTCCAAATGTTTTCTTGGCCTCTTTGTGATTTCTCTTTCCCACCTCTTTTAGAAAATCCTTCTCCCTCCCTAGGCAACCACTGATCTGCTTTCTGTCAGTGTAGATTAGTTTGTAATTCTTAGGATTTTATAAACATGTATGCAGTATATTCTCTTTCTTGCCTGACTTCTTTCACTTAGCATACTTTTTTGAGATCTATTCATGTTGTCGCATGTATTAATTATTTTTCCTTTGATAGCTGAGTAGTATTTCATTGTATGATATACCTCAATTCATTGATCCAGTCACCCATTGATGGACATTTGGGATGTTTTCAGTTTCTGGCTATTAAAAATAAAGCTTTCATAAACATTCATGTATAAGTTTTTGTGTGGATAGATGCTTTCATTTCTCTTGGGCGAAAACCTGAGAATGGAGTTGTTGGGTCATCTGGTAGATGTATATATAACTTCAAAAGAAATTGTCAAACTGTTTTCCAAAGTGATTGTACCATTTTACATTCCTGTCAGCAGCATATGAGAATTTCAGTTGTTCTCCATCATTGCCGAAAATTGGTATGATCAGCCATTTTTATTTTAATCCACATTTCCCTGATGATTAATGATGTTGAGCATCTTTTCATGTGCCTATTTGGCATCCATATATCTTCCTTTGTATTGCCCATTTAAAAAATTAGGTTGTTTATCTTATCATTGAGTTGTAAAAATTGTTTATATATTCTAGGTCAAAGTCCATTTTTATAAGTATGTTTATCAGATATTTTCTCTCAATGTTTTTGGAAGAGCAAGTTTTAAAATTTGGTGAAATTTAATGTAACTATTATATACTTCATGTCTTTTGTGTTATATTTAAGAAATCTTTGCAAAAGCCAAGAAGATGAAGATTTTCTCTAAGTTTTCATCTAGATTTTTCAGCTCTTACTTTAATGTCTGTGGCCCATTTCAAGTTAATTTTTAATATATGTTGTAAGGTAAGGGTTGAGGTGTGTTTCTTAATCATATGGCTATCCAATTGTTCCAATACCATCCGTTAAGAAAATTGTTCTTCCCTCACTGAATTTCCTTAGCAGCTTTGTTAAAAACAAATTGACCATGTATATATAAGATTATTTCTGGATTCTCTATTGTCTTTTGCTGATCTCATTGCCTGTCTTTATACCAATACCACATGGTATTAATTATGGTAAATTTATAACAAATTTTGAATTCCAAAGGGTAAATCTTCCACTTGCATTCTTCTTTATCAAAGTTGTTTTGGGGATTCGATATTCTTTGCATTTCTACAAAAAATCAATTTGGAATTTTGTTTGGTACTGCATTTCATCTATAGAGCAATCTTGGGGGGAATTATATCGAAACAATATTGGGTAATCTGATCCATGAATATGGTATATATCTCCATTTACTTAGGTCTTCTTCTTCTTTTTTTTTTTTTAGTCTTTTTCCGTGTCCGGCAATGGACCGCAACCCTCAGTGTTGCGCCCGTACCGGACTGGGACCGGCAATGGGATCGCAACCCTCGGCGCTGCGCCCGCCCCTCGCTCAGCCAGTGCGCGGGAACCGGTCTGTATGTGGGATCCGAACCCTCAGCGGGAGCGCCGCCGCACTCTCAAGCGGCGCACTGTAGCAGCGCGCCACCGGGCCGGCCCTACTTAGGTCTTCTTTAACTTTTTTGCAGCAGTGTTTTGAAGTTTTCAGTGTACAGGTCTTACACATATTATATTTGTTCTTTTGAGGTTGCTTTTAAGTTTTCTTAGGATGAATCAGAGCAACATTTCATCTAGGGTTAATGTTGCTCCCCTGCTGAGGTAGTAACTCTCTGAATACTCTAGCTAATGTCCTATGAATTACATGTTTTCCATTGTGTCTTATGGGAACATTAACTATTGCTAGCCCTATGTGAGTTTTGAAAATTGTTCTCTAAATTCCTTTCTGATGCTTTTTAAAAAATTTTGCTAGCCTCAGGTTGTTTATACTTATATGCCTACTCTAACCAATGCTCAGCTCAGCTTTCTGTGTGTAGCTCTCTGTTCTTCAAGTACTCTGCCTTGTAGAACTCTAGATACCTTGGCCTCGCCCATTTACCAGCCCTTTCTCCTTAACCTAGAAAGATTGCCAGGCTATGCCTGGGTTCTGCCTCCCTACAAAGCAGTAGGGGCAAAGGAGTAGGTAGGCTGGGGCAATCAAAATGCTTACCACACTATTTCTCCTCTTTCAGTTATTGCTATCCTCTGTTGCCTAATGGCCAATATCTAAAAGCCATGGTTTCATGTATTTTGTACAGGTTTTTAGTTGTTTCAGTTGGAGAGTTAAATTTGGTCCCTGGTACTCTAACTTTGCCAGAAGCAGAAATAATATTACTTTATAAATTTTCCTTCTATCCTTATATTTTTGCATTTGTACATTTGAGTTTTGAAAGCTACTTCTATTTACCTAGTGTAGAAATTTTGACTCTTTTTATTCTAACAATTGCTTTTGAGGTAGAAGTTTCAGGTAAGTCTCCAATCCTAGTAGAGAATTGGAATATAAATTGAAACTGCTGTAGACATGAAGATTTATCACTCACACATTGAGGCTTCCTAGGGAGAGCAAGGCAGGTTCCCAGACAGGTCTGAAAATAGCTTGAGAGAACAGGGAAAAGGAGACTGTCTTGGCTTTTATATGATTAGGGGGTGAGGCCAGGTACAGCAACAATTCACTGCAGCAGGCTTATGTGGTTTGAACTTCCTGCTGGGGGCCAAGGGAGCGAGCACGCCAGCTTTCTTATCAGCTTTCCCTTACATAGGACAGAAAGAGAAACGAGAGTGGTGAGGCTTGAAAGCTCAGCAGTCACAGGCCAAAAATGGAGTCAGACTCTTAATTACAACTCACCCCTGATGTTTGACTGATGAATGAAATGGGACATGTTTCTTTAATTGAATTTGAACTTGAGTGAGTCATTATGGCATTCAATAAGGACTATAGCCTGAGGCCAGTAAGGGAGGTAAAAGCTTCATTAAATGCCTTTTTCAAGAGCCCAGCACTGTGTATTTTGAAAAGTGAGATGAGTGCTTTGGTCACTTTCAATAATGCTTAGAACTCCAAAGGGGATAAGGAGTGTCTTAGTGAGGCTTTTATTGTAGCTTTAGTATGTGCATAGATATCTGAGGCCTTGATTTATATTTTGGGTATTTATGAGGCAAGAGATTCCCAGAATTCTTTACCCTAATGGAGGTAAACTTTAATAAGGAATTATTGCTGGACTAGATGGACAGACCATTGGCACTGGCTCAAGAGTCTGTAAAAATGTGCAAATGGGGCTGATTGTTGGCCAGGGCATCTAGTACTTAGATGACTGCATAAAGTTTGGCCAGTTGTGCTAACCCTTGGGTCCTTTCCCTGACTGGGGACATCTCGATTGGAGCAGTAGCTCTCCAGTGAGCATCCATTACGTGTTGGTGGTATTGCTGTCCATAAAAGATTCAAACCCCTTTTGCTATTCACTCATTTGTTCCCAAGGGGTTCCCTAGATAGCCAAGCGTTTTGTGAGAGGAGGGCTGACTTCTTCCAGAACTGTGGCAACTGACAAAAGACTGAAGACAGGGGAGACCACTTCATCCTGCAGAGGGGATATACGTGAGGGCTCAGACTTGGCTCTATCCATGTTTGGTTTTATCCCGTAGGCACTATTTTTTTTTTTTAGCAAAGATGCCCTGATGGCCATGGTGAGCCTGTGGGCTGCTACTTTCATATTCCAAATGATAGTGGGCATCTGGGCATGAAGGGTCATGGGCTCTGGGCATAGGATGTCCTAGTATGCAGCAAGTGATTGTTCCTTTAATGCTATTTAGTGTGTAGCTGAGGAGGACAGTTTTTACATCAGAAGTTCTTGGACAAATTATGGCTGTCATTGGTGGTGCACAGACTCCAACAGGCATGAGAAGAATTTGCAAAAGCCTTTCCAGTGAGACAGTCTCTGGGGGAACATTAAGGGCAATGCTATTGTATTGCAGTTTGGACAGAGAAACTAGAGCCTTTTGATGTGGGAGCCCTATTTAAGGTGGGTCAATTTGTGAGAAACAGCGTAAGTGGGCTTAAGTAAAATTTCAAAATGAGGAATACATTGCCTTCAGAACCCAAAAAGGACTAAAAGGTGTTCAGCTTGTTTTAACATTGTGGGTGCTGAAAGGATTAATAACTGTTTATTGACAGTGTCAGGGATGGAGTGGGCCTTGGCTTACCATATAATTTTCAGGGATTTAACCAAGGTACCATGACCTTGTACAATGTATGTGCCAAAGACCCATCCCCTTTTTGTGAGCTCCTTTGAGAGCATTTGTATGTTCTAATGAATGTGTCAATGAATCTCCTTGGAGGAGAATTTTTCATCAGTGTGCTATGACTGGGGAATTCAGGCAAGGCAATGTTTCTGAAGGTTAAGGTGAGGCATATGGGTTTGTCTTCTAGCCTATGCTTGGTAGCTCCCCTGAGAGCATAGAGGGTTATCTTGTTCAAATTTGTGGTGTCCTCGGGTATAACTAATTTGAGCTATAGTACTGATTAAGATAATGAAGGTTTGCCAATTGGTACATTTCAGCAGATGTTAGTTAATTTAGATCCTCTGTTGTAGAGGTACAAAAGCCAATCAGCACTTTTTTAATCTTTTTATTGAATAAATTCTCTTAGTTTTGAGTTTTAGATTTCCAATTGGGTCAAATTGTGGACCTTCGTTTTAGTCTTTGCCTACCCCCTTCCCCTGATCCAGTTTTTTTCTTTTTCTTTCTTTCTTTCTTTCTTTTTTTTTTTTTTTTTTGGTGATTATTGAATATACTTTGGTGGGGGTGGGGGATTCTCTTTACTCTGCTCATATTTCACATTCCTTCTTTCAGAGAGTCCCCAATTAGTGTCATCAGGCTTTCTTCATGGCAGTGGTTGATTTGTTGGGTTTAAGGACTCCAGGTTAAAATTGTGTTTGACTTGACCCCTTGGTTGCACCACGGGGGTGTTATGGGTGTTTGCTGTTTAACAC